AACGTTCTAACCACTTGGCCATATATATATATATATATATAGCATATGTTTGTCAAATTTATAGGATATTAATAATTGTACTTATCCTAGTTATTACTGGTTATTGTAATAGAAGTGAATTAGTATTAATGAAGTAAGAATATTGGTTGTGTTGACAGAGCAAGACTCGAAACTAAAAAGCAGTAAACTAGTAGCAGGGAGTTTAAACCAAACAATTAGACTAGTAATAATGATGTTATTGAAAACATTATTCATGGTAGCAAACAAAACTTGTGCTATTTATTATAAGCATTTGTTATACCATTATTAATATGTAATAGTAATAATATCAATATTGAAAAGTATATCATTATCTTAATACTAATAGTAGTGATGATGATGACAACAATGACAGCACAGTAGCAGTAAGATCTAATTGTCATAGTAATAGAAAAAGTAATAGTGATAAAGTACTAAAGTAGTAGTAATGCCAGTAAGGTTGGTGGTATAGATGTTGTTAGATCATTTCATGCACAATTAAGTCCCATGCTTGAGATAACAGACCAAATGACCATTTGAAACATTTGTACAGGGAGCGACAAATCAACATTCTCTCTGGCAAGGATTCTATTGAAGTGGTATAGCATGTTTGGCAGGAGGTTGGGGTAAAGAAGTGGCAATATATCAAGTATTCACCATTTTCATGTCTTTAATCAAATAGCAAATGTTATCAAGACGAGAAGCAAAGGATATTGACTTATGGATTCTAAAATACTCCACTAATTAACTAGATTTTTTTATGCATAAAGTGAGAAATCTGGTGTTAGGACCAAAGGCCAAAATGGGAAAGTTTGCAGAAATATTATTTGTATCAATATATTTACCATTAGGTAAATTGATTCTGCTCTAAAACTGTTTCTCTCAAATGTTGACATGACTGTTTATTTGGCTAGAATGACTTGCAATGTTAATTTACTTTTTAGGAATATCCCTTCTGTGTAAATGACTCTTGTATTTTTTTTTCTAGTAGAAACTTTATCTAAATCCATAATTTACACTGACTTTTAAAATTGTCTTAATGTTAAGAAATGTGCTGTGAAAAGTCTTTCACATCTTCCATGAATATTAAAATGAGAATGTGAAAATAAAACATTGATGCATTTTAAATAGAAAAATAAGAGATCACATTGTATGCAAATATAGCAAATATATTGTAATTGGTGTCAAGACTATCTTTATTTTTAAGTTAAATATTTAAAATAAATTTACTGTTATTTTTAGGATATATTATAAAAACAACTAATTTTAATGATGTTGAATGATCTTTAAATTAAATATCAACACCTACTATAGCCTGAGTTTTGCAAATTTGTCTTAAGACAGATGTCTGTCTGAATTAGTTGTACATATTGATATCAGATGTCAGGTTTCAAGATTATAGGTATGTTCAACAAATTTTTTGGGGTGTTGTCATGTCAAAAATATACAGTATTTGCATAGGTTCTTCCTTTCTTGTCGGTCTTTCTTCTGTAATCCTTTTCTTTAACTGGTTCCAATGCCTTTTGTGTTCCCATTTTTTTCCTTGTACCAATGTGTGACCTTATGTCATCTTCCCACATTTCTTTTCCATTTTTATATACTCTGAAAAACACTTTACATTGATATCACTACCAGTATCTAGATGTATTTTTACATTCACATTATTAATTTTCACATGCACAAATTTTCTTTGGTTTTCTGTAATTATTTTTGCCATCACAATGTTGTGTATGAAATTTTTTCTGTGAGAACTTTTCCTTGCTTTAGTTATATTGTGTAACTTTTTATGTCTTACTTTTCCACACTTGTAGTCTTAAAGGGATTGTCATTTCTGAGATGTAACCTTCCACATCTGAAACATGGATTAATTTTTGTTTTTCCACATTTTTCTTTAGCTTGTATATACGCACATTCTTTTTCTTCAATTTCTTTTGTATTGTGTCTCAGATGTAGGACTCTCAGACATTCGTCTGATATTTCTTGTAATGTCAGTTATTGATTCTGTTCAAGTTTTGTTAGAATTCTAGCACATATTTCTGTGTCTTTTTTCGCTGTTGGCCCTTGAAGAAAAATTAACCCCCAGTTTGTTTAATTTTAATCTTTCACATTCATTGTTAACAATTCCAGCACGTGACAAAATCTTAGTCTTCTTTTTTTATCACTTCCAATGAGTATTGAATAACAAACTTTTATTGCTAAAATTTTTAGTCAGAATATTCAGTTTCTTGAAAAAGAAAATTTCTCCCATTTTTTTCAGTAGTACGAAATTACAGTATTTTTCATGTTCTACCGGTGCTAACTTTTCTCAACAAAAGTCTTGTTTTTTTTTCTTGTATTCCCAGTTGCTGCATTCTTCTCTGAAAATTTGCTTGTATCTTCTAAAATAAGCAGAAAAGGTAATTCCTTCATCTGAATTGTATGTGAATTCAGTTATGGCATTTGCCGTTGCATCATGAGTGAAAGAATTTAGGGAATTTTCTCTTTTCTTCTGTATTATTTCAATTAAATTTTGTTATTGTTTCTGGTATTCCAACAACTGCTGTTGTTGTTGTTGCATTTTTACCACTTGGGCTAATAAATCTTCCATATTTAAAGTATACCTGGTTATTTTTTTTCTTCTTTCTTTCTTTTTTTTTAACTCACATCAAGGGAAAAAAAATGAAACTCAATGTGGTTCTAATTTCTCATTGTCACTATTATGTGCACCAAAGCAAAAAGTACTTTTTGCTACTCCATATGAGTTTCAGTTCCTCATTGCCACTGTTGTTATAACTCACTCTTAGTCGTTATAATATTATGACTTGCTTAGGCTACTCTCTGTGATATCATTAGAATTCTTCCTGACTGACTCCAGCAGACTTCCTACTGACTGAGTTCTTTATTTAAGTTCATGCCTAGTTCATTTGTGTTACTGAGAGTCTCTTATTTACTCTACAACAATAACAGACAAGACTGGAACTTGGCTAGCCATTTCCACTTTCTGCAGTGATATACATTACACTTATCTAGACTAGCGGTTCCCAATTTTTGTTTTTCTCTGGGCCATATTTTCAGACAAAAGATTTTGCTTGCGCCTCACCAAATTTTATGTGATAAAAAGTAGATTTAAAAATAAAAAAAAGAGTGAGGGTTAAAGGGAGATGAGTGAGGGTTAAAGGGAGATAACTGCAGTTTTGAAGTTAGAACATTATCATTGTTAACTTTATCCTCCAATTTGTGGACCAAGTTATATTCTTAATACTTGATATAATGCAAAAATATCTCAATGATAAAATCGGTCAATAATTATTTATAACTATTTATACTGCAAGCTCATGCATGTAATTACAAGTAATCCATAATATCTTAAATTTTGAAATCATTTATTTTTGGCATCTGAATTTTTTGAAACTGTTTCTAAATGTGTGAATGTCTTTCAATCATTCTGCCTAAATGCTATCCTTTTATGCTGCACCTATGAGGCATGCCACATGGTTTGGGAACCACTGATCTAGACATTCCCTAATTCTTTTTAGTCAATAGAAATATTAGAAAGGTGTTTATAAACAAATACAAATTTTATTCATTGAGCTTTAAGTTTCTTTTCCTCAAAATGTACAAGATTAAGCCGGGGTAAGGTAACTAAATTAAGAAAGGAAAAAGAAACGCTCAATTGGTCTATATAATAGAATATATATATATATATATATATATATATATATATATTCTGAGACCAATTGAGCTACATGGCACTATATATATATATATATATATATATATATATATATATATATATATATGTATGTATGTAAGCAAATATATGGATATAGATCCGACAGTATGAAGAAAAATATACGAAAAAAAAACAAACAAAAATCCTAATATGCAATTATGCTGTTTTAATGTTAATATAATGTCAACGTCGGTCTCCAGATTTGATTTTCACTAAAATCAATTAATGCTCACATTGATTATCATTTTAATTTTAGTGTTTTTGTGAAAAGTTCATTAATTTGCTAATGAATAAAGTATAACTCGTAATGATTAGTAAGTACAATAGAAAATCAATTTAAAAAATAAAATAAAATTCCTCTGAATATTTTTAATAATTCAGATATTTAACACAATATGCATGCCTATATTTACCCCCACTCTTTTTTTGCCAATAGTACAGATACTACAATTTGATCCTCGTAAGCAAATATTGAAAAAAGAGAGGGAAAAGAAAAAAAATTAATATTCAGGTATTTTTGACAGGCAATGTGTTGAGAGAGAGAGAGAGATGAAATAAAAAAACATGAGCAAGTGTTTATTTTCATTTTTTTGTAGTTTTCTGTAAAACAAAATTTCCAAACAACATTCTCAAAGAAGAATCAAACATCGATGAAAAGAATCGCTGATATATTAAAAAAATATTGTTAATTATTGTTAGAACATTATCAAAATACTACAATGAAAACATCTAAGGAAAGTCATATCTGGGTGTTATGGCCAGCAAGGGGAGGGGAACTAAAGAAAAAACAAACACAGGAACAGAAAGAATTTCATTGAAAATACAAGAAAAAAATTCTTTTTTTTTTAAGAAAAAGATGATTCATTATTTTGATGATTGTTCCTCAGAGACAAATTTAAGAGAGACAAAGAGAGAGAGAAAGAGAGAGACAAAGAGAGAGAGAAAGAGAGAGAGAAAGAGAGACAAAGAGAGAGAGAGAGAGAGCTCAGTAAAAATAAAATAAAATAATTATTGATAATGTAATAAGAAAATTATAATCTGAACTTACATAATAAAAGCATACATTTTGGCAAAATTCAATATTCAGATTACTTAGATGTATACATTGAAAACATTTTTATCAAAGAATATTTTCTAATCATTTAGAAATTAAGCATTGGATGAAATCATTTTTCCCCAAAAGCCATAAAAGTTTGTTTCTTTGACTGCTTTTAATTTAAATTTATTTTGCCAAAATGAATATTTTCTAAGAAAGCCATTCCCAACTTACCACCTTCATTTGTCCTGACAATGACAAGCTTTCCATAAGGCCCTTTCTCATCTTCAGAGTGAGAGCGCACAGAAAATTGGTATTCTGTATAAGGTTTTAGATTTTTGATTGATACACTGGTCAAATCACTAAAAGTAGAAAGCATACAAAAAATATATATATATATATATATATATATATATATGGATAAGTTTATATGAAATATCTATAATGACCAAACAAATTGCTTATGTCAAAAAGGTAATGTAGGTGAAAAAAAAAAATGTCTTTGTAAATTAAGTGCAATATTTTCCTATAAGCAGACACTCGGACACCAAGAGAAGCAAAGGAAAATCATTACATATATTATTAAATTGAAATTATAAAGTCCAAAAAGATCTTTTCATTTTAATAAAACTATAAAGGGTTGCAATTTAAGATACTAAACATCAAACCTAACCTTCTAACCTTCAAATATTGTACTCTCAGAACAAACTATGATACTAGACATTGATAAAATTGTTTGGAAGATGTTGATGGTAGTACTAGCAAGAAATCACATGTAATCTTGACTGAAGGTTTGAGCCTGTTGGTCTTGTTCAACTACTGATCCCACAAGATTATGCACTCTCCCTAAGAAACTATAACTAAAGTTTACTCAGTATGGTTATAGTATAAAAAACAGGTTGGCTCAGTGGATATTGAACAAGCACAAATGTACCTCAATGAAATGAGTAGCAAGACATTATAAAATAAGGCTTTTTTTTTTTCAATTTTATATTAGAAGGGCAAGGGGGTGTCATGTTTTTTTTTTTATAGATAGGCAAAGAGTATCATGTTTTTTTTTTATAGAAGGGCAAGGAGTATCATGTTTTTGTATAGATGGGCAAAGAGTATCATTTTTTATAGAAAGGCAAGGAGTACCATTTTTATTTTATAGAGAGGCAAGGAGTATCATTTTTTTTATAGTAGCACAAGGAGTATCATTTTTTTTTTATAGATAGGGAAGGAGTATCATGGTTATCAGTATCAAAAGTGGAATTCAAAAGCAGATTTCAAGTGCTGTCCTAATTTATTATATTCACTTTTGTACTAATGTCAAAATGGGAAAGGCATGAACCTATTTCTTCTTATTCCAGCTACAAGTGCTCTCTTGCCTTGGGTGGCAACCAGTCTACAAGGGCAAATTTTAATTATAAAATGTGGAGAAGACAATGTGAAATAACTCCATTATCTTTATTAGAAAATCATGTCAATTTACAGATAGAAAGGGAGATGTGGAGAACTTTGATTGTCCTGAAGGGACATGGCATTAAAAATAAATATAATAATCTATTTTATGATTATTGCATGAAGCATTGTTAATTATTGATGAGCTGCATTTCCATCTTAATTTTGGCTGTAATACAGTGCAACTAAAATTGTTGAAAAAGACACTGATGAAAAATTTATGAAAATTTACAAAAAAGTTAGAAATATATGTATATAAAATTTGCTATCTTGAAACCACTACCAACTGCACATTAAACAAGGCAATAAAGCCACTAAGACACAAAGGGTTACTGAGAGAGAATACAATAAAAAGAAAACATTAAGAAAAATGAACAATAAAAAAACAGGAACAGAAGATAATGATTGATTTGCATTTAAATTTTTGAAAATCAAAGTTGTCTGGAGGAGAGTTCCACAAGTAAGAAATATTAAAGAAGGAACTGTTAGCATAGAACTTATGGTTCCATCTAGTCACTTCAACTGTAAAATGATGATACCTTATTGCTAATCTAGTACTGTACTTCAATTCATAAAGTCTAGGTACTAAAGGGCAAAGGTCACCATAAAATTACCATGAAAATATAAAAAAGCAAGGAAGCTGTGTTATGGCAGTGAGAAAGTGACTGAAGATGAGATGCCAGGTCAGGACCAATAATATTGCAAATTTTTGTTTGTATTTTATCAAGAATCTCTTATTGGAAGCACCAGCAGCAATAGACAATGCATGGTTGAATAGTAGACTTATAAATATGTAAGATATATTCTGGCAAGAAAAACTGTCTAGAATGACACAGTGAATCAATTTTCCTAGCAGCAATCCTACCAATTGATTCAATATTAACTTTCCATTTTTTGTCAGTGGAAAATGTTACAAAACATGTTACAAAATCTAACCAGATTAAAAATTTTGCAAAATCATTACAAAAGCAATAATATTTTAGGCTTTATAGATTGAATTTTCTCAACAGGTCTTCTGGAGTGTCAATTATTTTTTTATGCTCATAAAACAACTGTTGAGAAGCATATCTCATTGACCAAGATTTTGAAGAAGTAAAAGCAACATCTTGAGCCACAGAAATTCAAAATATTGTTTTTCTTCTTCTATATGAGTTTGAACTAAAAGGGGAGCAGAGAGCAAAATATAGACAGTATACTTGACCTTTCCTATTGGATTGAAAGCAGTTATGGCATGTACCTTGAACCCATCATAAAAATTCAGGATGTGGAATTAGTAAATACCAAACATTTCTGATACCTCAATGTATGGATCAGTTATAACAAATTTAGTATAGGAGAAAATGAAACAGAATACAGAATATGCTGTCTAACACTGCAAATTACTACAAAAATAAACATCACCTGAAAACTCAAGTCACATTCTTAGTTTTGTCAGATCAAGACTTTCATATGGATGCCATGCATGGTGTCAAAGCCGTTCAGAAATATCTAATCTGTCAGCTGTATACAACTATTTTCTCAGATCAATGTTTAAAAATGGCTTTGGGTTTTGGTGAAGCCCACACTTCTTTGAACCTTGTGGATTGGTGGTACAGAATCACAAAAAACTGTACCAAATAACAAAAACCATATCACTTGATGACTTAACAGCAGCAACAACTAAAATGAATACCATAAATTGAACAGAAAATAAAGACATAATCAAGATATTGATATTCCACACTACTTCAAATAAAAGGTTAGGAAGGAAACTCCTTCAATACTGGAAATAGTGATAACAGCTACTGGACTTGAGAAACCCATTTTCCTGAAAAATTGTTTTAAAGAGAAAGATTTTATAAATTTCAACCAACAGCAGTACTGTCTGCTTAGTCAATTAATAGCAAATGTTTCCTCATAATGAAATGGCTATGTCACCATTAACATTTATATAGATATTTAATGTAGAATATGAATTTCAAAAATTGCTTCTTACGTTCTGATATATTTTTCCTTTTCTCCAGGTCTTGAAGTAGTTGGATTATATTGTACAGTGTAACTAACAATATCACTGGAAAAATCTGGCCTCTCCCATGTCAGATTCACAATTGATGAAGAAACTGGTACTGCTGAGATGATGGACGGGGCAGGAGGTACAGTAGCTTCTGAACTAGTTTGGAATACTTTGGTCACTTGGATGGAGGCATCGTCTCCACTGAAAGCATTCACTGACACTTGGTAAAATGTGTTATTGTCTGAAAAAATAAACACATCATTAAAAATAGATGGGAATGATAAAGAACTGAAGAGTCAGGCTGGTTGCTACATAAATGCTAGAGTATGGGGAGAAACATCAAACTGCAAAAGATATTTAAGACAAGAGAAGTAAAATAGAATGTCTTGTATGAGAGAGAGAGAGAGAGAGAGAGAGAGAAAAAGAGGAAAAAAAAAGAAAAAAAGAGAAGACAGAGAATAATAGAAAATAAAGAAAAAAAGAGGATGTACATGATACCATACTGTAGTCAATTGTTTTTTATAATATTCTTGATATTCTGAAAGCAGAGAAGTGTTTGTGTGTGTATTGGGGTGTAAGGAGGAAATACTAACACAAATATAAGTAATGTATTGAGGTGAATATAGAATTCAGTTAATTCTTTAAGTTTAGATAGTTTTATTGGTTAGATAAAAAAGATGAAATATAATAGAGTGGGCTATGACAAGTTTTTAGCCGCCCTTAATTACAGCAATTTTGGCTTGTGTAATAACGTCTCTTTTTTTTCAGACAATACCATGTTAGTATCAAGCTACTCTAATCTATGAACGATAGTTGACTTATATTTTGCAATGAAAGTTTGTGGAAATAAGAAAGTTGGTGAATTTCAACGAGAGCAAATAATAGGACGGCATCAGTGTGGCAAGTCAAATAGAGAAATTGCTAGGTTTTTCCAGGTTAATCATCAAACGGTTAATAATATTGTCAAGAAATTTAATGAAGAATGCCACTGTCATGTGGAACAACGTTCAGGAAGACCAAGCATTATGTCTGAGTGAACAAAAAGTCATCAGAAACTGTTGTCAGAGCATTGAAGATGTTGTCAACAGCATGGAAATGTCACCCTATGCAGCAAGAATTACTCTGAAAGAGCTTGGCTATCAAAGAAGAGTTGCAAGAAAGAAGCCCTTGATTTCAGAGGTTAACAGGAACAGGCATATGGACTGTATGAGAGAATTCAAGAGCAAAGATTATGAATTTTGGCAGTCTGTAATTTGACCAGATGAAAGTAAATTCTGCCAATATTTGAATTTGAGACAGGTTTATGTTTAGAGAAATCAGAATGAGATTTGGAACACTGAATGTCTTCAGACGACCGTGAAACATGGAGGGATTGGAGTAATGGTGTGGGGTGCTGTCTGGTTTGGAGTGAAATCTGAGCTGATTCTTGTTGACGCGCAGTTGAATGGTCCAAAATACTGTCAAATATTAGAGAAAGGACTGCTCCCACTATTTGAAACCAATCAGATTAACAAGAATGTCTACCTTTTACAAGAAAATGGAGTACCATGTGATATGAGCAAAATAGCAAATGCTTGGAAGGAATCGCAAGGAATCAAGTTAGGGCCAATGGAGAACCTATTCTATACTAGTTCCAAATACTGTTTATTTATGTTGAGTAGGGATTACATAATTAAATTTTGAAATTGGATATAGTTTATTTCTGCTGGCTAAAAACTTTTCTTAGGCCACTGTATTACCAATCTTGAGTTATATTACTTTTAAAATGTAATTTTACAAATATGAAGTCAAGTAATATAATTCTGGGAATCTAAAATCCTTTAAACAGCATAATGATGTATAGTAAATTTTACAATAACCATATCATTGTTTTTGGAGATATTTTAATTATATTTTTAGCTAAAACTAAAAAAAAATATTTTCAACAAGTTTAAAAACACCAGATTGTTGTTTCTGGTGTTTAACTTCAGTCATAATTAGCCTAATTCAATCATAAAACATATTTGTTACTTTATACTGTTAAATATACAAAGAGAAAAGGGACTTAAAATTTAACTCAAGGCATTTAGATGCCATTGAAACTTTTGTGATTACTATTTTGACCAGGAATAGTCCATTTTAATAGAAATAAGTATTATGTATTCAGATGAAGATGACTTGAAAGTGTCAGGATCTACAAATCACCCATGATTTATATATAACTGTAGTATATTACAATAAAGAAATATAAAATTAAAGATAAAAACCGAGTTAAAATTAGCTACAATCTAATTTCTGTAATGATACTGTTAAAGTAAAACTCAATTTTTCAGTTGTTTAGCCTTAATCATATTAATGTAGAGTTTGTTGAAATAAGATTCTTTTATCTGATGACACCTGGTCATGGGAGAAACATGTCAAATTGAATTTCATAATTTGTTATATATAAAAAGAATGTATAAACATAAAAATGCCTTTATATATATATATATATATATATATATAAAATGTGTCCCCTTAAAAATAAAAAAATAAGTCAAACTTGAATTGTAACTAACTTTGATCAGATGACAGAACATTTTTCTGCAAGGTATAGAAAATATATTGCCCACCAATCCATCATATCATAAAAATTATGATTCTAAATGTTGCTAATTCTAATTGGTTAATATGCTTCTGCTCAAAAAGTAAAGCATCTCAATTGGGAAAGTGAAAGTATGAAAATCTAAAGGTCTTCACAGTTCACCCCGCCTGTGAAAGAGAGGTTGGAGGGTAAAAAATAATTTGTCACCTGCAAGGACTTGGAGATACTTTTGAACTCTATCAAGACTGGAAAGTGAGGACTGGGCTGCTCCTGCCCAAATATGACAACAGTACACCATTTTTGGCCTGATCTGGCTCTTGTAAAGGTAGAGGATAACTTGAGTTAGGTACTTACTGGAGCAGTACAGAGAGATGAGCATTTTCCTGCATCTTTAGCAATAGATCATATGTATGAGTTCAACTTGAGGTCAGGTGTGAGTTTGAGGCCCAATAGCCTCTCAAGGCACTGTGCCTCCTCAAAGGAATATCTGTTCATTATGATTGGCGGTAGTTTGGGGTCTAATTGGCAGTTCTATATTTGGTTATAGGTTTTTCAAGTTTGACTAAATAAACATTTGGTTTCCCTGTTAAGATACTTTATGCTATATGTTGAGTATGCTGTAAATGTAGTTTTTAGTTTAAATATTTGGTATATCAATGACTCTTTTCAAAAGTTTTACCAATTTTTATACAATTATTTGCTGTCTGATTATTTTTTCATTATTTAATATTGTGTACATGCATTTTTAAATAATGACAATGAAAAAGATATGAAAAGTGTATTTTCTATAAAGAGAAAAAAAACAATGAAAGAATCCCACTAAGTGGAGAGAAAGAAGAGGAAAAACCATGACACTCATTCCGTGGTAATTCTTTGATAAAAGATTTTAAATTTAACAAAATAAAAAATAAAAATCTTTTGAAATTAACCACAGCAGGATTTTTCACTCAATTCTTTCTTCATACTGAAGTTTTCAGTTCTTTGTCCAAGGTAGTGCAAAAAGTTTTAGCTATATAGCAACAATATTAAATTAACAGCATGTAGCTATTTCAAGTCTTTTTTTTTAAGATTAATACATAGTGAAGACAATTTAAATCTTTTTTTAAATAACATTTATTGAATACTACTGAAAAGAATTCCACCAGCACAAAATAAAAAAAAAAAATTTTTTTAAAAGTTGAAATATTTAGTAATAACCTTAAGCAATAAAACAATTGTTTTCTTCTCTATCAAAGCATTCAAAGGAAGATATTGTCAAAATCCAGAATTTGTTAACTATTTCTTACCCACAGCATGAAGGTACTAATGTAAAGTTGAATGGAGAAAAAAAAAATGCAAACTATGGCTTTGTTACAATGATAACACTTCATCTCCATCTTGCTAATATCAGGATGAAAAATATCAATAGATTGGCATTTCACTGTTTCTAACTCCTGGCATTAAAGATTTCCATTATTTTTTAGATAGAAATGAAGAAAGTCTTTAGTATTGAAGAAATTACCAAAAGATTACAATAAAAATATTACATTCATAATCTATTTTTTAACAAGCTTAAAATCTTTGGTTGTAAAAAAAATAAATAAAGGCATTTAAAAATTTATATAATAAAATGGCAGGTAAAAAATTAATCAGAACTTCTTTTCTTTACAATTTTAGTCTTTCACATTAAAAATGAAAGTGGTAAATATACCTTAAATAAAAAAAAGAACTTAAATTATTGTGCAATAATTACGAGGCATTTGTTTTAATTAAGGTTGTAAGATGTAAGCTTATAAAACAAAGAACACACATACACACAGCTGAAGAGAAACTGTAATAATAGACAATGAAACTGTCAAATCAGCTAAGTGGGTTTTCAAGGAATTGATTCCATCCATTATGTTGATCAAGGAAGAGAACTGACATTGAAGTTTTGCAAACACTTTCTTTACATGTATAGCTTAAGATACTTATGTCTGCGTAAAAATAACCGTTTACAGATTTTGGGGAATTCATTACTGTGTAATACTAAATTTCTGCAGATATACATAACTAGAAATAAATAAGATATGTAACAGAGTAAATGTTGTATGGTAGTGATTGAGTTCAAACTTCACAACGTGTTTGACAATTGTATGATGAATACCATCCTTTATTTTGCCCAACATCTGTTTGTTGTAGTTTTGTTTTATTTTCCTGCTCACATGTAACTTCACATGAAAATAACAGAAGTGCTAAAAAAGCTTAAACAGAATACAAGAACCCTGCTGAATTCTATCCTAGAAAGATTTATGATAATAGTGTTGGATAAGTATTTTAATTATTCCATTATTTAGACTAGTATCTTCTCTTTGTTATTTTTATCACTTTTCAGCTACCATACTTAGCCTTGGACTGGTTAAAGAACATTAGCTGAAACTGTAAAAAAAAGCAACAATGATGAGGATATTAGCCCTAACAATTCAGGGAATAATGAAAAGGACTCACCTAATACACTGATCACACATCCTAATCAATATAATGAGATAATTAGTTAACATAGGACAAAAGATGGCTTTTTAAAATTTTCTTTTGTTATGTTAAATCTTGGTGGGTGAGTCAAGGATGACAATCCAACTGATTAAAAGTAAAAAACATTAATTATAATATAAAAGTGAGGGAAAATTTTGAAAACCTGAAACAAAAATCCTGAAAGGAAGAATAAATTGATTAATTTTTTAGGTCATCAATAAAAACTAATTAATAGAATTAAAAAAAAAAAAAAATCTTACAGATTAACAGTGAATCATTTTTTTCTCAAGTTAAGAATTGAATGATGTAAATTTAAAGTCAAGATTTCTGCATAAAACATGTTTTAAAAAATAACAGTGGCTAAGTTGGTCCTTTGTTATATTTTATTATTATAATCCAAACAAAATAGCTTATGTGAAGAGAATATCAATATGAAATCTGATATTAATTCAAGTTTAGATACTATGAATATTTATGCTGAAATTGCAGCATGTTTAGTATTTAGGCTAAATTAAATTTTTTCTTTCATATTTTAAACATTTTACTAAAGTTATTTTTTAAAATTTAGTGTGTCTTTTTTTAAATTTCACATTATTTGCTTTTTCAGAATTGTAGAAAAAGTTAAAAATCAAAATCTTGTGGCTGTAATAATTTAGCACCAAAAACTAAGTAACTGAGTAAATTCTAATAGACTTTTGGTAATTTTCCAGTTCATGCCATATTACATGCAAGCCTCTCTTTATTTTTCACATAACATTTCCTGTGGTTTTGTAATTATTCTAAGATTACAATTAAAATGTCTCAACCAGCTAAACACCCTTTGGTACTTATATAAATGGTATAGTCATTTGCCTGCTTGCTATAATCTGAAAACAAATACACTGACACAAAAAAATATAGTAGGGTTTTGACAGGATGATAGCTGAAAATTAGGGAAATTCACAAGATATTAAATATAAGTTGTGAATTTCTATTTAAATTAATGCTTAAATTTTATAAAAAGGAGCTTAGGGCTGTAATTTCTACAACTTAATTCTCTTTCTGCTGCACACAATGCTAATTGTTGTGCTTCACTGATATTTCAGACAAGTTGAACTGGTTTGACTCAGATGGGGAAGTTGGGGGAGGAGTATAAAAAAAAAACAAAAACAAAAAAAAAAAAAACAAAGAAAACTCCCCACTATTTCATTTTTTTGATAAGCAAAGGTATTGAAACTGGGAATTTTTCTTTTTTAAATTAATTGCTTTGGAAAATATAATTACTAAAACTAAAATCATCTTCAAAAACAAAATTTAACACTGAATCAAATATAAAAATGCAAACTTTTTCTCTATCTTTTGCAGAATACACAACTCACATGACTGAAGAATTTCAGTCTCTGTGTGCTTTTCATTGGCCAATGCATTATCACATTTCCATCTCTAGAATGGTTGCCAAACAAGGCTATAGAACCCAGTCTGTCCTGCTATTTAACCCATAGCTGGAGGGAGAAGAAATAGATTCTTACTTTTCCCAAGGGTATTTGCATATGTAATGAACTTGGTTGGAATTTGAACTTACCTCTCTGATTTCTCATTCCAAGCTGAAATTCATTACACCATCTGCACATCTAATTTGCAAATGTGATGATATATATAAATTTTACATTGGGTTCCGTGAGTGATGGAGCCACTCTGCACATATCTTAAAACACTGACTCCACATATCAATACAGTCATCTGTCAGTTAATACAATCCACAGTAAAATGTTAGAAATGTTTTTATATTAATTTAACTAGTCTATGTTATAATTATCTACAATTGCCAAAACTCTTGAGAATGATATCAAAAAATATTGAAAGATGACTTTTTGTAAGATGGAATCAACTGGGAAATCACAATAAAATTCTCTTTCCCCATCAGATAGATTTATATTTTTCATGAGTTAACAGTTTCCTTTTTCCTCTGTTTAGAATGAAAACTAAAATAAATAAAGACGCAGACAAACGATTACTAAGAAGCAACAAATGACCCCCTTGGAAAGCTTACCAAGATTGTTTAAAGTATAGTTGGTCAAGTTGCTTGGAAGCCTGAATTCAAGTTTCTTTTCAGGAGCATCAACTTTATAGAGTTGCAGTACAAAGTAATCAATGGAAACGGTTTTGTCAAAGTCCCAGGACACAACCACAGAGCTAGTGTTCTGTATAGCCACATTCAGGTTTTTGGGGGTTTCAACTAAAGTGGAAAGAAAAAAGACAAAAATCTTTGATTAGTCAGAAGTGAAATGAGATCATAATTATTGATTTCATTTTCGTTTGTTCTTATACATGAATTTATACAAGATGATGTTTGTGAATAAAACAGAACAGAGATGAAAATGAAAACTAATTTTTATTTTTTTTCTAACATGAGTGATGAGATGAATGGATGGATGAAGGTGGCAAGGAGTAGTATTTATGAGAGATGCAGAAGTTGATGAGGTGTTCTTATTGTGGGGAGTTTGGTACCAAAAAGTGGTCCAGGTATACAAAATGGAAACAGGAATAAGAAAAGCTACATAACTACATGTTGCAGGAATAATTCCCAGTCTAAATAATGGTCAAGTTACACATGAACATTAAAGAACAATGGAAATCTATTGAATAGTTTGGGTAATATTAAATCAAGGTCTTAAAATCAAAACTTTAAAAACAAACAGAAGATTTTAAGGCAATTTTGAAAATCCTTTCTTTTAAATTCTATTAATATTAATTTTATATTTTCCATTTTCTATTCTCAAAACATGTGACTTCATATGTGTTGAATCTTAAATAAAAAATAAAGAGTAAAAGTGGTATTGTATGAAATTTTATATTTTGCACATTTCTTAAGATAATTAAATCTATGCATTTGGCTAGATATCGAAAAAGGCCTTAACATCTATTAAGGTCAGAATTTAATATTCTAAAAAGATTTACAGAAAGTTGTCTACCCTGTGTATAATGAACACTTAATTGACTCAAACCTAAATTTGGATTTAAAAGATGAATAGAAGGTTTATTATTGATAATCAGTTATAAATCTATTTCTATATAGCCTGTTTAATTCTGTATTCAAAAGAAACATCATAGACACTCATTTTTATTTTGAAATGCTATAAACCACAGTAGGGAAAAAAAAATTTTATGGCCCAAATTGCAAATAAAAAATAAATAAAAAATGCACTTTTTCCAGAATTAAATCATGAAAATTGAGAGAACAAGGTAAGTAATGAAAAAGTGAGAGAATGAGGTAAACCTAAATAGAATCTAAATTAAAGAATGTCAAACCAAACAATGAAAAAATGTAACATCACTGGATAAAAAAACCAAAACTCACAGAAACTTTTAATAACTATATTTTTTTTTACTAAATCTAATATCTACAATGAAATACAGTTATCTAGCAGAGAACAATGATTTTCAACCTTTGCAGTAAATAATTGAAAATAAAAGGAACTATTATATTTTGCCACACATAAAAATATAACATACAAGAATATTTAGATTAAGACTTTTGGTTTTCTTTTATCTACTGATTGGAGAAAGAGCATGATTTGTGCTTGCAAGATACTGGGAATGTAGACTTATACCAGTTTCCAAAAGTATCTAAAAAAAATAAAAATAAAACAACAACTCAGCAGTACTTAAATAAGAACTAGGAAAGGTATCCCAGACATGGGCAGTGGAACAATCTACCCCCGTAGATTAAATAAGGGGTTCAGTTTGAAATTTCCTGTAAGTTGCCCAGGTCGGCATATACTTGATGAAGCTTGCAGAGTACAATGACTGAAATGCTGTGATAACAAAAATGAGGTCAGTAGTCCACATGCAAATAATTATATATATATTTGTGTGTATTAGTGTAATTATATGCTATAGAAACATGATGAATGCATGCATACAATTCAAATGGAATATCATGAAGAATTTAACCATGCTAAACCATAATTGTTTTTTTTATATATAAAACCAAAGAAAAACCAATGCAAATAAATAATATTTTATTATAACCACAAATTAGTTTAAAAAGAAAAAAAAAATACTAGTTTCTCTCATTTTTTTAAAAACCAAAAAATCTGAGTCATTCACTTATACTAAAATCTAATAAAGACTAGTTGACAGAGAGAAAAATAAAACACAATTCAAATCATGAACTTATTGTAAAGGTGGGCAGGAATAATTTTTGTGCCTCTCATGCACCCTTCTTAATATTTTAGTTTTGTGGTATCTCCTGACAATATTCCTCACTTATTTAAAAATGCTTTAGCAGATTGTAAATAGAAATAATGGCACTTTTGTATTATTCAAATACAGGCAAATATAGAATGGTGGGGGGTGTATTAAGTGAGTTTAACTTTGTCCAAGAGAAAGCCATAAAAATGCTGCTCTCAGTAAGAATCAAACTCATTAGAAATGGTTAATGTGAATTGTAAAAAAAAAAAAAAAAGCTAACATCTATAAGCATGAAAGGATAATTTTTGTTTTAACACTTTATATTAGCAATTATTTGGCAACCTGTTGCTCATTACTCGGATTTTATATTTAAAATATAAAATGGGTAAATCTAATACTTCAATAAAAGAATTTTACAGATATTTTTGATAATATGGTCATTGGTTCAGTTCTCAAAGATCTACTGAAATATTATTTTGCAAGTATATTTAATTTTAAAAGCTTGATATTTCTTAATGGGATACATATCAATGAAAAATTAAAAATAAGAAATTACTTCAACTACTTTGACTATACAGTGGCTCCTGCTTATAACGCATCACTCTGCAGTTATGAATTGAGCACTCTGGTTGCTGATTTGGTGTTTATATACATCATGTATATAATATGTTAAAAGATTCCCTTTCGCTGCCATGTGCTGAGAGCTTAGGGGTAGAGGCTCTGACTGATGCCAAATTGGTCAAGTTTTAATCCTGGCTTGAAGCAATCAGATGTCTAGCCATACTGATGAGCTGTGATACAGTGAAACAGGCTTGTATATGGAGATTTATATATATATATATATATATATATGTATAAGTGCGTAGGTATGCAGAAAATAGAAAAGAACGCGTTGGGTGCATAATCCGGGGTTCCTTAGTATTTTTGTTTTTATTTTTTAAGAAGACAGTGCTCCATACATAAGTAGAGCTTATATTATAATATTTTTTGTTTAAAAGGAATTATATTTATAAACAAAAAAAAATATATATATATATATATATATATATATATATATATATATATATATATATAAAAACTGACTGTTGGATGGATAGTGCAGTGTTGTAATGTATAGGAAAAATAACATTAGCATAAAATTCAATATTGCTATTATCCATTTAATGATATTACTCAATATAAAATAATTAACCATATTAATTATACTGTGATGAGTTAAATAAATTGATTTAGAAATTTTTTGTGTTTTTTGGTTACTTGTTTAAAAGTTCAGATTTAACACATAAATTGGGAAACTGAAAATGGATGAAAATTCTTATTCAAAAGTAGTTTAACTAATAATAATGATAGACTAAATAATTTATTTGAATTATACATCGGACAAAAGAGAATAAAATAATATAATATTTTAAGTGCAATAATTATTGTGTGACCAAATGTACTACTGATTGTAGACAACTTAAAATTCTGGGTAACATGTATAACTGATTTATGATCAAACATTTTTTAATAAGAAATAAAAATGTAGGTAAAAATTTATTAATATGACATTAGAAGGTGCTTAAAGTATAGTGAATAATGTGGCAGTAATGTTGCCAGGTATCCCCAAAATGAAGATTGTATGTATTGATAATAGGGTTAATAACAATATGTGGTAAAAATTACAAAATGGTGAAATAGTTTACAATTGCATTGAGGCTTTGGACTCTGGTTATAAAAGGAAAAAGAGGAACAGACACACATGTTTTGTTAAGGTACTGTGATTAAACTTTTTATTTAATTTTTCTTGTGTTCATACAAGTGTTTTCTTTTCTGGACACAAAGTGTGTAAAAACTGTCCCAAAGTTCTGCATGAGCTAAGCACTTACGGCTATATTTTTAGCCATTATCAAAGATGACTTATTTTTACTTTTAACTGAATGTATAGGTTGTGTTGCACATGTATCTAGAACTATAGGAATGTTTTATTTTCCAATAATTTTATTTTCTCTCTCTCTCTCTCTATATATATATATATATATATATATATATATATATATATATATATAAGATTTTCCTCTCTTTTGTCATGTGAGAAACAAAATGACTGGAAAAGGAAGTAATATTTGAAAGAAATTTGATTGCTTCATTTTATCCCAAATCCTATATACATGTGTGTGTGTGTCCAAATGTTGTGTCTCCATCCAAACAAGTTTGATTAAAAAGAACTAACAAAGTCTGTTTAATTTTTTTTTTTTATTGTATTTCCCCATTTTTCAAATAAGGTGTTATCTATTGGGATCAAAATTGCAGATAAACTGTCCAAAGTACATGTTTTTGGAAAAATACAATAAAAAAAACTGAACAGACTGACCTTGGTGGTCCTATTTGAGTACTTGTTGCCTGAATATACTACACACACACACACAAACATATATATATATGAAATTTTCTTATATAGTAGCTAATTAGTATTTTATATGTGGATAAAATTTTTTGTGTTAACTTTGAATTCATGATAAATATTTTGGCCTATTAACATTTTCACTGCATTGTTATAGTCTGACTGTACTGGCCCATTTCAGGAAAACTTGAATTTTTTTTGAAAATGTATACATACATAAACAGCAGGCAATGTAAGTTTTGTTAAGTCATAAATAAATCTTGAATATATATATATATATATATATATAAAAAAATGTGTATGTGTAAGAGATAGAGAGTTTCATAAAGATATATAGGTATGTCAACAGCAGCAGAAGGGGCCAAGACAAAGTCAGATGATATGAAAGAATGAGCAGTTGTTTTAATGAAGATGTAGCACTTTTAGAAGACTGATGCTTGCATGCAGAAAAACAAACACATAAGGATTTTTCTCACTTCTCTTTTGTTCATGTGAGAAAAAAAAATAACTGGAAAAGGAAGTAATATTTGAAAACAATTTGACTGCTTCATTTTAGCCTAAATCCTAAGTACCAGGCCACTTTCTATTGTTGCCAGAATAACTGTAACAAAGCAGCATCAAGTATTCAGAAAGAATCCCTTCAGTAACCAGCCAACAATTTCTGCTAACATAATCAGATCAATCGGCTAATTTAAAAAGGAATTAAATTCAATGCAGTACATCCCTTATTTTATTCACTCTGATTATTTGTATAATAATGAGATGGGTCAAAACTTGAATTATAATAGTGGAAGTAAATCGTACTATATATGGGAGAAGCTTGGTGAATTCTAATATTGCATATAAACACTGATTTTCTTGACCATCCAATTTAATGTTACCCCAGTGGTGGTTATCTATTATGGAACTAATGAAGCTTAATCTTCAGGGTCCCTAATGCCAGAGGGGTCCCTGAAGCAACTTTTTTTTCATGAGTAAATTTTTTTAACAAAATTTGTTTTTAAGTGTTTGTTAAAATAAGGCCATTTTAGTGATAGAATCGTAAACCAATAGTTTGAAGTAGCTAATGTTGGACTTAGACTCTGCTCTTGTTGAGCTTGTCAAAATCTATTTATAACCTACATCTATTCATGCTGGTTGTGAAGGAACCCCCCCATATCTGTACAAGCTTCAAATATGTAGAGGGTCTGCCACTGTGTAACCCTCATCCTTTCAAGATGACATTTCATGGGCCTCAGTACTTGAATTATAATGGTGTCATATTGTATTTTTAAAAAAATAATTTTGAAGTAATTTTGGTAAGTACCATTTGGTTAAAACTGATCATTTTCTGCTTGCAAAACAATGCAATATTAGCTACCAAATGAATATTGATGCAATTTTATTATTCTTTTTTTCTTTAATATAAAAATAAATTAACTTATAAAATCAAATAAACGTGTTCATAATTTATTGTTAATCTAATGAACGATAGAATCAAAATATGTTAATAGCTTTTAGTAAACATTTTTCAATTAATACCTGTTTGAACGCCATCATACATTTTTAAATTTCCAATTTCAATAGAACTTGTTTAATACAACTCAAATGTAAAAGAATATTTTTTTTTCTGAAGTGAATGGTTTTTCTTGTCTGCTTAGTTTCTATTTAAATATAATTATTATAACAGATCATGTTAGTGCCAGTGATTGAAATCCTCTTCTGTGAGCAGCATTTGCATGCACAGAACAACAGTATTAGCATAGATAAAACCAAGTATGAAATTGTGTGCAAGGGGGGGGGTCAATATTTATTTATCCAGATTTGACATTTCCAACAACCCCCCACTAATTCCAAGGAGAGTTTTATGAATGAACATCCTAGGTAACGTCATTCAATTTCCAATATACAAAATAGAAATTGTCTTTTGTTATCGATTGTCCAATTAGTATAAGTGTTTAATGATTGACAAAGTGATCAATATAGAAAACATAAGTGAATTAATGTCAAGCTCAAGAGAGAAAATTGCTTTCTAATTTAAAAATGTTAAAAATTATAAAGAAAACTTGAAGCTAAATATTATTTTTCTGATAATAAAAAAGGAAGATTGTTTAATAATTACCATAGGAATGATTATAAGACTTATCATAGGAATGATTATAGGACTTGTCATAAGAATTATTAGAATTAACATAAGAATGATTATAAATCTATAAAATTTCTGTGGGGAAGAGTTTTGTGTTTAGCAAACATTTATTAAACTTGAAAACAGTTTTCATTAGTTACTTTTATATTTTACAATTGAATTCTTTAATTATATATGGTCATATTTTGGTCATTTTAAAAAGATCAAGACTTTAACTCAGTGAAAATAATTATCCTTTGAATTAATGAAGAAGCGGTGGAGTTAGCCAAACCTGTTCATATCAATACGGAGGTAAAAATCATTAAAAATAAATTAAAATATTGTTTAAAAAATATTCTGTAAATATAAAGACAAATCTAGAAATTATAAGTTTCTTTAAGGAAAAGAAACTTGTCTTAAAACAAAAATTTGTCTTTAAACACTCATTCCATTCATTGGCGCAAAAATGATCAAGGTAGATGCCATATTTAAACTTACTGCTTATCTTTAAAAAGAAAAAATTATCAGCAAAAGCATATGCCATTTTATGGTAATATTTAGATTGTTAGATTTAATTTTATGGCAACTATTCTCAACTGAAGTAACAACCTTTTAATTACAAATTGCACTTGCTTCTATTCAAAAGGAAAATATATGACTTACTTGGTTTTGTTAAGCTTTGGGTTTTTGTTACAGTCCATGGCCAGCTAGACTCATCCAAGTGTGGGAATCCTGCAATGGTACCGGCTAGCATTCGGATACGATAGACTGTATTTGGTATCAACTCTGCAAGAATTGATTGTATTAAATAAAGATTGAAAGAGCAAATATACATTCAAACCAATGAAGTAGGAGTAAATAAACACAACATGCAGGAATAAATATTGTTCATTTGCCCAGTAATTGGTAAAGTGTAAAATGTATAAACTTTTTACCAAAGACTGGAGAACTAAGATTAATTATCAAAATTTATAGCAAACCTTTATAAAATTCTATTGGCCTATTAGCTTTCCAGCTATTTTTGTCAAAGTACTAGAAGATTTAATCAACTGAGAATTAGTTAAGCATCTCACCTCACAGGGTCTTCTTTCAGATAAGCACTATGGTTTTTGCTTCTCTGGGTCAACTTCTGATGTATTAATGATTACTGCTAGAAGCAGGGTCTTCACAGATCTGTGTAAAAAAAATTCCAGGACTTTTCCAGGATTATGCCCTTTGCAGATCTTTACATGGCATTGGATTTTGCGATAAGTCTGCTCAGCTTTCTCCACATAGATGTCAGCTGACTTGAGTAAATCTTGTGTGCAACTTTTAAGCTTGTGTTTTTTGGTCTTCAGTTCTTCAATTTCCATAAGCATGGATTTTTGTTTTTGTCCAACTGCTTCTTCCTTTTTTTCTTCTCAGCCTCAAGGTATTAGTTGCATGCTATTCTTGCATTAGAAGCACTGTAGAGAAGAGCCTTTGACATGGGAACATTCAACGCCTCCAATTGTGTTCAAACAGTTTGTGATAATGCGCTATGCAACCAGAGTCTACTGTTTCGTATTGTCAGTGGAAATTTCCTTATTGACTGAGAAGCCTCTCTCCACTGATGCCTTATTAATTGTTATATACTGATGATTATGAAATGTTAACGTTATTTTATTTATTAAATTTTTTTAAGTACTAAATTTTATTATTACTTATGTAATTGTATACTTATTTTATTTAAGCATAATCCAATAACTCAAACAATATTATAGGAAAAATAAATTGCTGCCAGGCCTAACAGTTAAGAGATTTTTCAGAATATTTTGTTCTTTTTTCTTCAGTTGTCTCTTCAACAGTCCTCAGAAGTGAAATGAAAAAATTTGCCCACAGCCAAAAAGGTTTACATGAGCGTGATTTTCCATAATGGGAACAACCATTGAAACGTGTTACCCTTTAATGATAATATCACCTATGAAACACTATACTTTAAAAAAACAAAATCATTTAGACACACAAAACTTTTTTTTTAAATATTCAAAAATTTTTTTGGTGTAATGAGTTGTATTAAGCTTTTCAATTTTCACTTAGTAAATAGTCTTCACTTAATAACCTAACTTTGATGACAATTGGAGGAGTTTTTTTAAAAACATTTTTGAAACTTTATAAATTATTATAATTAAAAAAAGAAAAATGTAAACAATTCTTGTAAAAATTTATTATTCATTGAAAATATTTTTTTCTTCAGACTATAATGTCCTTAATATATATTATTTATAAAAGCAATTAAAAGTTTATCTAATTAAATAATTACATACTTTTATTGCAGTTTTTATTTTATGATTTGGAGAAGATTTTAGGGAATAAGATAAAAGTAAAAAAAAAAAAAAAAAAAAAAAATTGATGATTTATATTCTCCAAGGCAATGTTTTCTAAAAATAATAATTTCAAAAATAAGTTAATTTATTTGTGAATAAGTCCTGAAAGTTTCATTAAAGTCTGACAATTATTTGATTTTTGCAAGACTTTCCAAATTAATGCGTTATTTTACCGAAAAACAGGTGCAAAAATGTCCATTATCAGTTACGTTACACCGTTGACGCATAAAGAAAAAAAAGATTTTTAACAAAAATTTTGAACATGTTAGAAAGGAGCAAAAAAAAAAAAAAAAAATTAAGAATACTGTTCTTTCCTCTGAATAATAAACATTTTGACGATAAAATATTGTTTTTAAGTTTGGGGCCTTTTTTCAGTGAATTATTGGACATGCCTATTTTACAGTAATAAAATTTATTTATCAATTATCAAATTTGAACAATTGAAAAAATTTTATTCACATTTCAAAAGTAAAAGGTCCTTTTGATCTCCAGTCAGTGGTGGGTGAGTTCATATTGAAAAATAGATACTTTATGTGTTCTGTGTTATGTGTATCTATGTGTAAACTATGTTTGTAATTGTTGTCAAAAGTAACAAGTTTGAGAATAAAATTTGATTCAAAGAAAATGTAGACAGGAAAGATGATAGAAAATGTGCCTTTGATGCATCTTAAGATAGGACAGAAAATAAAAGAATGTTATTTTTAAAGTGTGCAGGGTAATGATGGCTTTTGTTTTAAGTGAAAAAAAAAAGATGAAATAAAACTTATTGCTTGGCTTTATATCAAAATAGATACATCCCACTTTTTTGGTAGATGAAAAAAGGTCTCAAACTTAATAAAAACAAAGTCAAAATGTTTATTATTAAGAGTAGGTACCATCCACTTTTTCGCGGAAAACAGCATAGTGTAATGAAAAAGGCTACAAACTTAATAAAAATAAAAGTTTTATCATCAAAATTTTTATGTTATTATTAAAATGAAAGACCAAAGTATTTTTTGAAATTTATTAATCCTTTCTAACACGTTCGAAATTTTAGTTAAAATTTTGCTTTGTTTACCTCATCACGGTGGCATAATAACATTGACTTTTTTGTGCTTTTTTCCGTTAAAAACACATTGATTTGGAAAGTCTTGTAAAAATCAAATAATTGTCCGATTTTAATGAAATTTTCAGGACTTATTCACAAATGAATTAAATTATTTTTGAATTATTTTTTTTTTTCATGTTACCCCCACTACTTAATTTCATGAAATTTTGCAAAAAAACCTTTCTATTTCCTGAATTTTTTTTATTCATTAAAAGTAGGACTCCTTTGAGAATGTAAATCACCTATTTTTTTTTCAAACTTGCACTATTCTAACTGAAAATCTGCTCTGAATTGTAAAATAATAAATGTAATAAAACTATGAGATTATTTAATTAGAAAAACCTTTAATTGCTTTTGTAAATAAGTTATATTAAGGACACTATTGTCTGAAGAAATAAAATTTTTCTGATGAATAATGAATTTTTACAAGAGTTTTTTCATTTTTTAAAAAAATTTTAATTATAATAATTTGTAATAGTTTAAAATCGGGTAAAATTCTGTATTGGGCTATTTCCTGAATATGATATAGTAGTTAAGTGGAAATGAAATTTACGAATCCAAAATTGAAAAGATTAATAAACGTAATTACACTATTCTATTTTTAAATTTACTTTTTAATTCTTTTTAACTTAATTTGTTCCTTTTTTCATCTATGAAAAGCTAAAAGCGATATTATTATGAAAAGGTCACGTGATCTAAGAATTTTGTCTCTTTACAGAGAAAGTAATTAAATAAAATTTTATAGTATTTAAAAATTTTTTTTATTTTTGCATAATGCATCTTCGAAAGGTAAATCAAAGTCAATAAATTATTAGATAATTGTGGAAAATATGTTCATTTGTAAAAATTACTAGGTAGTTAAAAACCAAAAAGTGTTCACTTAGATTTTGTAAATTTGTCAGTTCTAGCAATATTTTCAGGTGACATTAAATTAATGAGGCAATAATGTAAATATAAATTAAAAACCAAGGAAGATTCAAATTTAAAAATAATATTGTAAAATCATTAAATGTATCTACTACAATAATCAAGAAATAAATCCATTTTAATATAATTCAATAAAATTACAAATTTACCTGTAATAAGATATTCTCTCAAAGCTGGTTTCTTAAATCTCTCCATGGTAGTTCCTTTGTCTGTGTTGTAATACACTCTGTATTGATTTATGATACCCCTACTCTGTTCTAAAGGGATTTTTTCCCATTTGATTTTTATTGAAGTTTGAGTGCTACTGACTACTTCTACTTTTGGAGCAATCAATGGAGCTGCAAAGAAAAGAACAAATTTAATTTTGTTTTTCTTTATTTGAGAAAAAAAAAAAAAAATACACACACCATTTCTTTAAAACTCGATAAAGAATTTTGTATCTTTAAGAAATAAAATATAACAAAAGACAACAACAGATGAAAAAAATCATTTTTTCACTTTATTTTGATCTATTAGATTTCACTAAGCATTTTAAGGGCTTCAAACAGAAAATAAAAACTGAAAGAGTAGTAAATCAATAAAATAATTTGAAGCTTACAAAGGGAGGTAACTTCAGAGCAGTTGTTTGTGTAAGTAAAACTCATTTATAAATTACTGTAAGAAAGCATTAAATGTAAATACAATTTATTAATAATTACAACAAAATCAGATTTATAAAAATATATTCTATTTATAAGCAAGATAAATTTATGTGTGTGCATATATCTTAATTTTTGGTTGGGTGGACGTGTACATATATGTATACATATACGTGTACATACTGTATTACATGTAATCAATCTTAACATCATTCATAAATATGTAAGTGGTAAAATAAAAAAATAAAAAATGTTTTCATATAAATTATTGCTGTAAACAATCAATGCTTTGATGCCAATGACATTAATTTTGATTAGAAAAATTGGACTACTGATATAAATATTTGGTGAAATTAAATCTATATAGTAGGATTAAACATTAAATTATTTATTATAAATTTAACATCTTATGTAAATGAAATATCAAATGCACTTTCAGATATTTATAACGCCTTTATTCATAGATTATGTATTCATTATAAACACACACAAAGATTTACGAGAAAATTCACAAGTAGCAAAAACTTACTGGCATCAGGGGTGACATAAGACGCCTTATTGGAGTGTTTGCTGGCACCATAGTCACTATAAGCTGTGACATAACAGGTGTAGTTTGTGAAAGGCTTCAGATGCTTCAGTACCAGAGAAGTCACTTTCACAAGTTTGGCCATTTCCGTTCCTGAAGAATGAAGAGAAAAGATTCCATTCAATAAGAATCCTCCCAGTTTAAAGTAACCTTCTTCAATGGGGTTTGTTTTCTAGAAAGGTTTTCTGATAGGACAAATGTGATCAATAACTCTCAGGTCATTTAAAATACAATTGTGATATTTAGTGCATATTTCAGTTGTAGAGTTTTAATTTTATTTTGATCAACAAAACATTAGTCTTATTTGCTTCCACCAGTCCAGGCCTTCACAGCTAGAACCTGCCATACCACATACATATAATTAATTCCTCATTCCTTTCATATACCATTGCTAAGGAGGAAGTTCCACTCAGACAGCTTCTCCAGAACTATTGTGGAACAGATTCTTAAAAGGAAGTTTCCTCAATCACTACAATCTTAAACTCTTCAAGTCTAGAATCAACTTATCTATCCTACATATCCCCTTTCTTCTTGATTGAGTGGTCTGTTTAACAGTAAATCAACTCCTTATGGGTCATTTAATGCTGAAAGTTAATTTTCTTGGGAGCTCGGAAGTAATAAGAATATATGTTACTCCACTTTCACAATTAAATACATAGATGATACTCAGGTTTTGTGGACATACTTACAGTGATGTGTGTTTTATGTTGTGATTTTATTGTTATATTTTGGAATACAGTCATCAGAAGTTGTAGGATGTTATATGTCTTAAAACCATGAAAGTTCTTTTATGTTAGTTGTTTGGTAGTATTTTAAATGGATTTGGGTGAAGTCACTATAGTTTGTTAGTATTTGCATATTATTGGTAATTTTACTATAACTATGCATTGTTGGTAATTTATATAAAAACATATTGCTGGTATTTTTACTATAAAAATGTATTTTATATTTTCAGTGTTTTGTTTTTGTTTAGGGGGTTCACTAACAGATGCTATCACCATGGGTCAGGGTGGACCTGGGAACAACAGCAATTAAGAGGTGGTTCCACACTCCCCAAAACTGCCAATCTCCTAATCAGAAGCCTTGCTGCCAGATGTAGTTTAATGTCATACCCAGGATTACCCTTACTTCCTCCTAGCATGTCCTTACAACAACCTCATTCAGTAATCCTCTACCTTGAATGGCTTTTGGGCATTGTATTAAGTGAACAATATTATTAAAAAAAAAAAAGTTTGGTGAAGTGTTATTGAAGGATGAATCGTGTTATGTACAACCCCAACCCACCATTTTGCCATTCATTTACCTTGTTTTATTTTGTCCCATGGAATCTAAAATAAAATAAAAGAGACTATAAAATGAACTGACCTGATTTTTCTGAGCAGTGAACGGAATAAGTTGTTATAGAACAGCAACTTTTAGCTATAGGTGGGGACCAGGTAATTTTCAAATCTTTTAGTCCTGAACCTTGCACAGTGATATTCTGGGGTGGATTAGGAGCTTTGTCTACAAAAGAAAAGAAAGAACAAATTTTTATTATTCAATCCCCAAAGAGGCATTATAAATAGAAGAGAAAATTAACTTGGAATAATTGAGTAGACAATTTCTATTACAATCCATATTTGATACCAAAGATACATGTCCAATGTAGTGTTGTGTGACTTAACCTTTAGTATTCTACATTATTCATTAGTACTACTTCTTCCACTATATATGGTGGCTTCTCAAATACAAACTGCAGTAGCCTTGATCTCGATTTAAGTCAAGGCTTTTTTTTTTTTTTTGCTGTTGCTATAGCAGGATGTGTGAACACAACCATGAAATTTAAATATACTGTTATTTAATGATTGGAGTCAATTGCAATGGCAGGACAAATGTTTTCCTGACTGAAGTTGCCTAAAGAGTGTTTATGGTTAATTAATGATTGACTTAGAAAACGTATTTCATGTACTTAACACTTCAAACAAAAAGTAACAGAAGAAGGACAAAGAATCAAAGGATTACCTTAAAGATCAGTAAATAAAGCAATAAATAAACATCATTCAATGCCAGTTATCAACAATGGATTAAGTACTTTCTTGAGATTTCAAGAAAATTAAAAAAATTCAATTAATGCATTATTTCAGCCAATTTTATAAGATGCTAAAAATTAACAAAACACATTTTAAATGTTAATCTTTGGTAAGCTTAACCCTTAAATGTCAAGCATCATCAATTGATGTTTCATTGGAGATCAGTGAATGATGCTTTAAAATTTTTTCAACACTACAGGCACCATTCATTCATTATTTGAATCTAAATGACTAATTGGCAACTCTAGGATTCAAGAGGTTACATAAATTTCTTGGAATATTTGCCTGCAAATAAAACGGGAAGAACAGAGTAGTGGCAAAAAATGGTGACAACTTGGTGCAAAGAATGCATCCCTCTATTGCACATAGAATTCTTCAAGGAGTATCATACTGTTTAAAAATATTATATTTAGGAACATACCATTTGTTTTTATTTCTCTTTTAATCTGAAATTGTTAAAGTATAATTTTTATAGATTTTGTATATAATTAAAGTAAAAATAAATATAGAATCTACCTTTAATTGAGAAAAAAGAAAAAAAAAAAAGAATTTTCTCATTTTTTTACTCATTTGGTGTAATTTTTTGTGCAACCTTTTCCAGCTGTTTAAGCATTGAAAGCCAAACAGTTTGAAATGTAAAGATTTCATGCAACAATGTTAAATTAACAGTAAAAATCCATTTTATCTGAATTTCTGGGATGAAGAGTTATTATTTACACTATTTATATTTGGACTATTGTTTTTATCACAAAGAATTTTGAACTGATCCTATTGTTTAATCTGTAGGCGTAGACTGTTCTCATTCCACTGCTAGGGATATAGTCTAGTTATTATTTTCATTTAGTGTTGCTCAGTTTTTACTCACTGTTTCCACTGAGTGCAAGTACACACTGTTCAATCTGGGGATTGAAATCACAACCACTATGTCACCAAATTCACAAACCAATGCTTTTATCCACTAAGCTGAACAGTACTAAATAAAAATAAGAACTAGATGATATCCTTACATATAAGCAATTGAACAAGAACAATCTACCCAGCTTAGATTAAATAAAAGGTTCAGTTCGGAATTCCCTGTATGTTACTTAGATTGATATACACCTGAGGAAGGCCGGAGGGCACAACAGTTGAAATGTTGTGATAAAAACAATAAAGATGAGGACAATAGTCCAGATATAAATAGTGTAAATAATTAAAAATTATGTTTTTTTTTAACATTCATCACAAATAGACAACTAGCTCACTTACAAGGCCCCACTTAATCTTTTATTGAATTAATCAGCAGGTAATACCAAACAAGCAGGTTGATTGTTTTGATAGTTGAATAAAAATGGAAAGAGATTTAAAATAAAATAAAAAAATTAAAGGCAACTTAAAATATAAATATTTTTTTAATTAGATAAAATGCTCTAAAATTTTAACTATTTTATAAAGTTTTGGGATTAAGTATTAAAATTTTTTTTTTACAGTTTTTTGTTCTATAATTTTTATGTTTCCCCATTTTAGATATGTTCTTTGGCTTTATTTAGATACATATTACACTTATTGGCGCACTTTAGAAATTGTTTAGTATTTTTTTTTTTTTTAGTAACATCTTTTTTTTTTTTATTAATAAGTGATTTTTTTATTTAACTGTAATATTCTTGCAAAAAGAGAGTGAGTGAGAGAGAAAAAAAAGAGAGTGAGTGAGAGAGAAAAAAAAGAGAGTGAGTGAGAGAGAAAAAAAAGAGAGTGAGTGAGAGAGAAAAAAAAGAGAGTGAGTGAGAGAGAAAAAAAAGAGAGTGAGTGAGAGAGAAAAAAAAGAGTGAGTGAGAGAGAAAAAAAAAAGAGAGTGAGTGAGAGAAAAAAAAGAGGAGTGAGTGAGAAAAAAAAAAGAGTGAGTGAGAGAGAAAAAAAAAAGTGAGTGAGAGAAAAAAAAAGAGAGAGAGAGAGAGAAAAAAAAGAGAGTGAGTGAGAGAAAAAAAAGAGAGTGAGAAAGAAAAAAAAAAAAAGAGAGGAGGAGAGAGAAAAAAAAGAGAGTGAGTGAGAGAGAGAAAAAAGAGAGAGAGTGAGAGAGAGAAAAAAAGAGAGTGAGTGAGAGAGAAAAAAGAGAGAGTGAGAGAGAGAAAAAAAAGAGAGAGTGAGAGAGAGAAAAAAAAAGAGAGTGAGTGAGAGAGAGAAAAAAGAGAGAGAGTGAGAGAGAAAAAAAAGAGAGTGAGTGAGAGAGAAAAAAAAAAAGAGAGTGAGTGAGAGAAAAAAAGAGTGAGTGAGAGAGAAAAAAGAGAGTGAGTGAGAGAGAAAAAAAGAGAGTGAGTGAGAGAGAAAAAAAAGAGAGTGAGTGAGAGAGAAAAAAAAGAGAGTGAGTGAGAGAGAAAAAAAAGAGAGTGAGTGAGAGAGAAAAAAAAGAGAGTGAGTGAGAGAGAAAAAAAAGAGAGTGAGTGAGAGAGAAAAAAAAGAGAGTGAGTGTGGGTAAAAAAAAAATGAGAGATAAAAAGAAAGTGAGAGAGAAAGGGGAAAAAAAAGAAAAGAAATAATGAAAGAAAAGAAATTAAAAAAAAATTAGAGTTCAAAATACACCTGTACCAAACCAAAAGTCTTTCTTGGCAGAAATGTGTTAAAAACAAGAGAAATGATTTTTACATCCCAGAAAAACTGAATCCATCTACATTTATAACTGTTAGAAGTAATTAAAAATATTTTGAAATAGATTTTGATTTATAAATCCAACTTCTGGTTTTATTTAAACTTGTATGTGAAAACAATAGTGATTTAATAAAATGGATGATATGAGTCTTCACTTACCATTCACATCAACTTTGAATCTGGCAACAGCTGTAGCATAACCGACTTCATTTTCAGCAAAGCATTGATAATAACCAGAGTCACTTTCCTGACTTTGGACAATCCGTAGAACGGAAATACCCTTTTCTTTTGACTGCAAAATACAATTTACATACATATATGCATATCTGGAATAGTTTTATTAAATTCAACTGACAAGGTCTGTCCATTTAATTTTTTAGTGGATTTTTCCAATTTTTGAGTCAGATGTATTTTAGGATTGAAGTTGTGTCGTAAGTTCATCTTTGTTCTGTTGTTTTATTCAAGTACATTTGACAGTTTCAATAAGAGAATTTAAAATTTTGTGGGGTTAGTAGCATCTTTGTTAAAATTTACTTGACCTTGCAGCGAACCAGGATAGTAACACCATAAAATCACGACTGAGATGATCAAAAGTACTTAAAACAACAGAACAAACTTTGGACATTTTATTCATAATTTCGGTCCTGATACACATCTTATTCAAAAATTGGGAAATACAGTAAAAATTAAACGAACAAACCTTGTCAGTTGAATTTAATAAAACTTGTTTTGATGAAATATTTGTAGCCTATATACAACAAAATAAAGAGAAAGGAACATGAGTCACGTTGTTTAATAAACTTTTTCTCATCAAAAATAAAAAATTTTAGCTTGAAAAAGATTTGAAAACGAAAAATTTTAAAGAAAAAAAAAAGAAAGAAAGAAAGAAAAGGTACTTACAAGAATCGAAATTCTGCTACTTTTCTCAACTTTCTTCCCATTAAAGAGCCAGTACACAGTGGGGAATGGTGATCCTGTGTATTTGCATTCAAAGTCGACCACATAGGCTCGGGGGTACGATCTATGTTCAAATGTACTGAAAATTTCAGGCTCCACTGAAAGAAGGAAAAATCAGTCAGTCAATAATCAATAAATAAAATGACAAATCTAGATTTATATGCAAGCTAATAATATAGCTAGAGATAAATATAAATAAAGATACTGATTTGAAGACAGTTTCAAAATTCAAAGATGGAGGTGGTGTGGAGAGGGCTCTAACTAACGAGAACCATAGTTTGTTTTTGTTTTTTTTTAAATTACACAAACAGGAAAGTGATTTTTAGAATGTTTAGAAAATAGCTGCATTTTTTGTAACTAGTGGAGTAAATTTTATTTTCATTTCTTTTACACACATATACAAATATTATCCATCTTCAATATTGATAGATAAACTTTACACCAAGTATATTCTTTCTTCAGATATAGTTTATGTATAAATAAATCTGAAGTGAAATTTTAATCGAATGAGATCTTATAAACTTATAAAATACACCATGGATACAGTATTTTTAGATGAAAAGTTATACCTTTTCATTCATCAAAAAAAAATATCCCTGAATTTGTGATGCTGATATTGGTACTAATTAATGTGAACTTGACCTTTTCTCTTCAATTTACAAGAAAACATCCTAACTCATGTCACTGTTTTTGAGGAGAAAATTTCTTTTTTTTTCTTTGCTGATACACTTCAATTATACTATAGATAAACAACCAGAGATTAGAACATTTACACTAATTTTATACCCTAGTTATCTATGTACACACATGTTGAGGAACAGGGAATAGAAGAAATAAGGGGGGGGGGAATAAATGAAAGAGAACTTACTATGAACATTAAGTGTTGCAGAAGCTGAGATAGTTTGGCCATCAGGGCTTACAGCTGAACAGATGTAAGTTCCATTGTCGGATGGATGGACATTGGCCAAGCGCAGATTGCCACCTTCAATAACTTCAACATTATCTATGCGAATTTTTGTTCCATCTGAAAGAAAAATTGAAGGCATTTAATTTAAAAATAAAATTTTAAAACATTAAAATATGACCTGATCAGTTTTTCAAATTATCTATTATGAACTCAATATTTCTTAAAATATTAATTTCTATATTAGTGTAAAATCAAAGAAAACTCTTCCAGTCAATCAAGACTTTAGCAAGCTACTTGCAAAACATAAAATATATCTTTAAATTTAATTACTTAATATAATTGTAGTGAAAGAGATAATCAACTACATCGAAAAAGAGTTTGTGTTTTGTGTGTGATCTGCCGAAGAAAAATTACCAAAAAGTAGAAGATTATAGAGAACTGAATGAACATGTGGATGCATACATGGCTCATGCTGATGTGTGCACAAAAATTGAGAGAATGGAGAAGAAAGGGGTCCAATGTCTCTGTGACTGACCTTCAAAAGGCCTACTTGCAGGTACGCGTGCACCAGTCACTGTGGCCATTTCAGATGGTGATCCCTAATAGGAGGAGATACTTGCTAACGCAAATGGGATTTGGGCTTAATGTAGTGCCGGCCATCATGAAAGCCATCGTAGATGCTGTGCTATCTGAGGATAAGACAATTCATCAAGCGACGTCAGCTTACATTGATGACATCTATACCAATGAAACATTAGTGCTTGCTTTGCAGGTGAGACAGCATCTTTCTGACTTTGAGCTCGAGTATAAGAACCCAGAATGACTGGAGGATGGTGCTCGTGTGCTCGGCTTGCAGGTCTGGGGGAAGCATAATGTGCTTTACTGGAAATGTGGAAGCGAGTTCCTAGACATTCCCAGACACATGATATGATGCAGCATGTTATCGTTATGTGGAAAACTGGTGGGACATTTTCCTGTGGGCAGTTAAATCCGCATTGCGACTGCCTTTATCAAATGTAGGGTGACTGCTGTCACTTCCAGCTGGGATGACAAAACAAATGATGCTCCCCTTAGAGACATGATAGTGGAAGTCATTACCAGGGTGCATCAAGACGACCCCGTACATGGTAAATGGTGTGTTGATGGATGTGAATTTGACGTCTGGGTGAACACAAGCTCCCTTGCAACAGGAGTATCCCTTGAAATAGATGGAACCATTGTGGAAGAAGCAGGTTGGTTGTGCCTTGAGAAGGATACATAACATATCAACCTGTTGGAATTGAATGCTATTATTAAAGGAGTAACCATGGCCCTTCAATGGAATGCAAAAGTATTGCATTTGTTCACGGATTCTGCATGCGTGCATAAGTGGATTGTAGACACTCTTACGGGGAAGGCCAGGATACGTACAAAGGCTGCGAGTGAGATGCTCATTCGAAGGCGGCTAGACACACTGGGAAAGTTGGTAAGTGAGTATAACTTATCAGTGGATATAAAGCTGGTTAGATCAAGGTAGATAATTTAACAAGGGTGCCCCAGAGATGGCTTGATGCTATTAAGAAAGAGGTAGAGCCGGTCTGTGCAACATCAGTGAATGACTAACTCAGATCTACTAAAATCTGTGCATTGCCAAAGCTGACATCCTGCTGTAAAATGGACTCTATATTTCATGAGGCATCCACATCTGCCGTCAGGGCAATGGTCAGAGAGTTCAAGGAGTGTCAGTCTATCAACCCAGCACCTATGCAATGGCCAAAAAGGACAACTGAATGTGAGCAAAGTGTGGTACCATATTGGAATGGACATCACCCATCATAATGGAACTAACTATCTAACCCTGATTGACTGTGGTCCGACCCGGTTCACTATCTGGCAACGTCTGCATCGACAGGATTCTGCAAGCGTGATTGACCACTTGCAAGCGTTGTTCTTTGAGTGTGGACCTCCAACGGAACTCCTCACTGACAATGACACTGCATTCTACAATGGACTATTTAAAGATTTTTTGGATTCATGAGGAGTCCATCTCAGATTTCGCTGCGCATATGTCCCATCAGGAAATGGCATAATCAAGCAATGACATTGAAGCAGTGTTCCATAATGGAAGTGGTGTATTGGCACAACATTACCCCTAAAGACAATGTGTCACCCTCAACTGCACTGGCCAACATGACTTACCGGTACAAAGTCCGGCTAAGAGGCATTGACGCGACACATTCAACTGAACAGATAAAAGAACGAGCGCTGTACAACCTGGGCGATCGTGTGTGGGTGAAAGCCCCACATAGCCGGTGTACATCTCGGTACTGGGTGGGGCATATCACTGGAATCAGTAACTTACACACCGTGCTGGTTGATGGAATGCCAAGACACATAGAAGACTTGCATACCTGTATGGGTTCAGATACTTCAGCAAATGACGTTAGCAGTCAGTGCTCAGGAAGTGAAAGAATAATCACCATTGGAGGTAGGGCTAGCAACTCTTCAGATGGCGAAGACTGTGTGTGAGATTGCCAGATCAGAAGACTCCTCAGAAGACGAGTCTTCTGAACATACCACACAATCGCCTCCAGCAGTTGCTCCACTCTGGAGAAGCTCAAGAATAAAGAGGTCCACTCCTGGGTGTCACTTATGTGACAGTGGGGAGTGTAGTGAAAGAGATAATCAGTTACCTTGAAAAAGAGCTTGTGTTTTGTGTGAAATCTGTCAAAGAAAAATGACCAAAAAGTAGTTAGCAAAAATCTACTTTAAGGACCAGAATCTATGTTAATGTTCTTCCCTCCTCTGAATGGCGTGATCAATCAGAAAAATCTCTTGATGAGCAGTTGTTTTTCGCTTAGGAGAAAGATTTGATTTTCTGAGCTTGGTGGACAAACACGCATTTTTGCAGGTGAGAAGTGAAGGTTGGATTTGTGACTCCATCTTGTCATTTCTATGTTGTCTGTTGGACTATTACAACGGACTATCGTTTGGACTGTGATTTGGCTACAAGTATTGCGGTCGAAAGAGAGAAGAAATCTATTGCAGATGTTTATTGCTACTATAAGTTGACAGTTTTTTTCTTTTCTTTACAAGTACAATAATATTTACAATGATCAAGATAACATTATAAAAATATTAAATAAAGGAAACTTATCATATATCAAGTAAAATGGGATAATTGTAAAATATATTCCATTAGTATTATGTGAATGTTTTACATGTCTAAACAGTTTTGTACAAAGTAATTAACAATGTTTGAATACTTTCATGTAACTCGGTGAAATAATAAAAATACATTTAATTACTTCAAAAATATCTAAGACTGAACTCAAGTTTGAGTAATTTTGCTACGAAGCATATGAAAGTTATAATTATGATTCCAAAGTTATCTCCCTTAGATTTATAGCAATTCGATCGGCCGAACTAAAAATAATGACCTTAAAAATTGAAAATGCAGTTGTTGTAAAAAACTTGTTTAAATAAGTCTTGTTTTGAAATCTAGAAAATATAGTGATAAAAGCTATAAACTGAAAGTTAAAATATTAATTTGATCAAAATCTAACAAACTACTAGACTAGTTAAAGAGTAACCTAAAACTGCATTCTTAAAATTTAAATTTGTAAATGATATGGAGGGGAAGTGTATTACATGTTGCGAGGAAAATATTAACTAATTAATGACATTTTAAAGTGTACAAAGTTAGACTTAGTCATTAGCTGAATGTAAGCAATCCAGGTTTTGTTTCACTAATCCTTTACATAATCATAATTAAATGAATCAAAACAAAAACAAATAGATAAATAAATAGACAGAGATAAAGAGAGACTGATGGATAAAAGAGAGAGAGAGAGAGAGAGAGACTGATGGATAAAGAGAGAGAGAGAGAGAGACTGATGGATAAGAGAGAGAGAGACTGATGGATAAAGAGAGAGAGAGAGAGAGACTGATGGATAAAGAGAGAGAGAGAGAGAGACTGATGGATAAAGAGAGAGAGAGAGAGAGAGAGAGAGAGAGATATTAAAATAAAACTTTTAATGAAGAGCTTCTCCTGGGACGCTTAAAGAGCAATATTTGAAATTTTGGATTAAATGTACTTTCAATGTAGGTGAATGGGTCGTTCCATTTAAATGGATAAAAATGTTTGCGTGAAGAGATGAAATTGAAGAAGCAGGAAAAGCATGTTTAACTATGAATGAGTTTGTTAAACTGTGGGTGTTTTTGAAATAGATAGTGAAGAATGACTTATGACAAACAAGGAAGAAAAGTATAATGAAAAAGAGTGAAAAGTAAACGTTATATGGGAGAGAAGGAGTGTAGGAAACATGGAAATTTTTATTAAAAAATGTGTAAAGCGAGGCATGTAAATGGGGGTGGGGGTAGAAAGAGTAAAGGAAGAAGAGAAAGAGGACAAGGAGAATAGGTGGTTAGGAAAATGAAAGTGGTAAGGAGAAGGAATGAGAAAACAAGAAAAATAGAATTCAGTAGAGGAAAAGAACAAGTGAAGAGAAAAAGAGAACTTGGTTGCAAGGAAGATGAAAGTGATAAGGATATGAGTAAGAGAAAGAGAAGCTAACACTGTAATGAAAGTAGTAGTGTTAGGAGCAGACAAGTAGATGACAATGAACTAAAATGACCCACAGCCTACATATTTGGACTGCAAGCAATATTTGGAAGGAGGGAAGAAGGAAGGAGGCGATTAGAAATACCTGGGAAAGCAACATAGATTTTTAACTTATAATTAAACCCATTAGAATGCAATTTGCAGAATATTTCGTTGACAATCCTTAATTTGGATGGAAAACAGACTTACAGCCGGCTATTTTTGTAATGTGTATGTATAGGAATATAAGTGGACAATGGCTAAGAGTGTGTTATAAATAAGTAAATACATGAATAAATAAAATAAAATAAAAATGAATGTATATAGAGAAAATGAGGGTTGTCAGAGTCCTTAATGGAGAATGGGTGTAATATAAGTAGTTTAACTTATAAGCTTATTATTGCAGAACACTTGTTGAATGATCATGACATCAGCTTCGTTCCACAATAGCTTTTCATTGAGTAATACTGACAAAGAACTGCTAATGGAAATCAAGTTTTCTTTTCATTACAATACAAACGTCCTATTTTGAAAC